AACTGTATACTTCAAAATAAGGTCATTTGCCTGTGAGTGCATGAAGGCGCATTTGAGAAAAGGCAAAAATAAGGCAAAAGTTAGCAGCATACAGTAGAAGGGTGTGCGTGCAGACTTTCTCTGGTGGATTGGGCGCCATGTCTCAACCATCAAAATAAATGTTTGGGTGCTATAGATAAAGTTGTTTTTAATTCACCGTGATTTTCTGAAATTCTAAATTATGAGTGCTCTAAGAGTTAAGAAAGTTGGTCGTATATCATCTGAAAACCCTCTAGATTTACACAATAAACTTTTTAGGTACTTTTCAAGCATCAAGCTAAATATAATTACCATTTATAAGTAGAAGTAGAAAAAATAAACACTTTTGAAAATCATTTTAAGGAGCAGAAAAATACGTATTTTTACATCATAAAAGTATTATCTTTTGGATATTTTCCGACAAAAATCAATATCCATAAATCTAGTCTTTAAATTTTTCTATGTATTTAAAAGAATTAGTGGTACAAATAGTCAGGCCTACTTCCAAATAACAAAGCGGATATTTACATAAGTGACTGACACTACCTGCACATTACCCACAAGATATTCAGTAAACATCCAAGTATCTTCTCTCTTTTTTTAACAAAAAAACTCTAATAAATCATTATTCAATTCACTTAGTAAGATTAATAATCCAAAAGGTTTCCAATGCRAGCAAGATGGCGGTCGAGGTCGTGTATTTTTTGATACTAATGTTATCAGGAGCTGTCGTTTTTGGCATTCATTGGAAATATGGTTTATGCTGTAGCGTAAGTGCTCGAAGAACTTGGCAAAGAAGAACAAAAATGGAATAAAGGTAAGTACCGGTTTGTTTGAAGGATTTATGACAATTTAGTGGAAAATATTTACAAATTCAGCAATCATGATGAAAAATTGCAAGCTCGGCTATTTTCAGTGTAATAAACGTAGTGTCCTAAAATAAGCTTCTGTTTACAAAATTGATTAGGATCGAACAATGTCCCGTTGTTGAGATTTTGTACATTGCTAACTTTGCTACAATTATGAATACGCACTACTGATTTCAGAAGATAGGGAAAAAAACCCTTTGATAAGTTTGCATAACGATATCGTTGCTATGGAAACTCCCATTACTAAATACGTAAAACAATTTGTAGTGTTTTTATTGTAGTGTGTTTAGTTTGCTTTAGATTAATAATACTATTGATTGTAATAGTATTAATAATAATGATGCACTCGCAGAGAAAGGGTTCTGTAGAAAATAGACATACACACACAGTTATACATTGCTCATGTAAGTACAGGGTGCCTCCTTCCCCTCCCCCCTGAGTCATCACCATTTTTTTTCGTGAAACTTCACATAATTCGTATCATAAAAAAGCAAATCAAACATGCTATTCTTGTACCGTATTTCTTCATTAAAATTTATGAAACAACGTATAAGCAATAATAGAAGCATAGCTCAGACAGACTGGAGAGTCTATATAGCGCCCCTAGGTCCACTCCCTCCCCAATCCCGCCTAATCCCTCCCCTCTACAAAATTACTGCATCTGCGCGCCTTTGACGTACGGAACGTAAACTCGTATTGAATCCCTGTTTAAAGTAATTCTACTATAAATATCATATTATTAGAGCATTTTATCCAGTTAGCCAAAGATTATAGGAAAAGTAGCAGTAAAATTAATAATGTTTGATATTATTTTATACTTTAGCGATTATCTATATATAATGATTTTCATGCACTTTGTCACGCAGGCTTATCCATATTTCATGTCATGTGTGCGAAAAAACATTGCGAATGTCTGCACATGCGCACTAAGATACCCTCATGTGAGCTTTCCAACATCGTAAAAAGTTCTTAACTGCTCAATTGCATCGGTTAACAACTTATTTTCCGTCGCAGGAAAAGTGCTAAATTGCATAAGACTGGTTTTGAATGCAGCAACCATGCCTGTAYTGGAAATGTTTCTCCTTGGAGCTCTCGTMACTGGTCTGACGATGGTCGACATTTATCTCTTGAACAAGTTATGCGAAGACAAGACGAATGCRCAGCGAGATAAGAAACACAACAGGGTCCTGATTCCATACTCAAACTCCTACTTCCCAGTACGGTGAATGTTGAACTCTCAAAATGACTGGTTTAAAAACTACCAACACTGGACTTACAGAACTGATAGTTAACCAAAGTATTGTGTTATTAAGTTGTATATGTGTGAATCAATGTTGTAATTGTACGGTCGACATGATAAATTATTCTTATACATTCACATCAAACGCATGTTAGAATAAACATTTTCAAGAGCAAGATTATCTCATCCATTTTTTTTTTCTTTGAAGAGAATTTGATCGAGTTTATTTGGCATGAACTTTACACTTTACATATAGTTCCTCATCGTGGTCGCGCGCACATCTTGGACATCAATAGTTTTATCAATATGTTGTTTTTGCCAAGTTTTGCAAGTGTGTAAGTACCAACAGAAGTAATTGCAATTATCACATTGGCAAAGTATATATACTTATTTAAACTAGAAAAAAAAAAAACAATTCAGTTTTTCTGGCGATTTTATTTATTCCTAGAAATGAGAAAAACGCGAGCGCCCTGCAGTAGTCAACCTTATCTATACAGAAAACAAGAAATATAAACAAAAAACAAGAAATATATATATCTTGAAGCCAAATTTTGCTCTTGAAAATGGATTCAAAATATTCTCTTTGGTTTTGCTAGCTGCATTTTAGAGAAATAATCTGTTGCTTTCTGTAAAGTTAAAATTAGTTTTAAAAATGACGTTTAAATCATACTCGAATCCTCTGGGCCACCAGCAAAAACCATCAATAATWGATGTYCCGTGAAGTAAACAAGCTTACTTCAACACGAATACTTGAAATACAGCTCCAATTTTCAAAGCAAACGTTCAAGGACTGTGATAAATGACGGAGTGCAATGATGGTTGAGTTATTGGCACTTGGAACCATTGCTTTAGTGACGATATTAGACGTTTATATGATTAAAAGATTGTTCTGCAAGAAAGAGAAGGCTGCAGATACTGATGTCTACCGAGCTAACCAAGATGGCCACGGTTCTTACCGACTGTGAGAAAGGCTGCAAGATTTCAGCAAGGGACTCTTAGAGAACTTTTAGTGACATTCATGGCGTTGTAAAGGAAATACCTTGAAAATACTGGAAAGGGACTGTATCCAAGTTGCAAAAATTACCAATCTTTTCTTGGAAAAGAATATAATTTCATATCGGAATCCGCACTATAGAATAATTTACTAGTTGAGTAGTACTCACCGGATTGTAGCTTATATTTGGTATTCAAATGCGCAAATGATTCAAGAACTTTTCGTTCAGAAAAAGGAGATTTATCGAGAGAAAAACATTTCAATAAAGTTGAAAATAATGTACGAAGAATTTAATACCAATCAACACTACATAATTTCAATTGATTGTAAAACTGAGAAATAAAATGTTCAATCTCACACTGTTACATTCATAGTATTCTTTACTGATGGCTAATATGATTTGTTAAAAATGATAAGCATTGCTCTAAAAGTGCAATAGCACATTTCTGGAAGACGGAGACAGGGTTGTTTTTGTCGATGAATTGGCATTGTTCCAAACCATCAATCCCGATCTATCGTGCGATAACCTCAACATTTAACGTTTTTGGTCAATATTTTGTCCCATAAGTTCTTTAACTGTGAGCGAGATAACATGTTTGTGGAGATATTTGCAGCTGGCAGTGTTCTGATAGCATTGGCAGTTGAATCCTTTCTACTTAAGAACATCTGCAACGGAGGAATTATCCCATATCCATACTATCTTCGWGAACGTAAGGAGCAATCTAWTTGAACTCATAGCTTTCAAGTGTAAAGAGCTGAAGATGGTTTTCGTTGAAGCATTCATTGGATTCACAGCGTTCTCCGTTGTATCAATCAATGTTTTTCTTGTTAAGAAGCTATTTGATGATAAGCCGATCGAGAGGAAGTTTTTGCCAGTTTACTTCCCTTTCCCAACAAGACATGGGAATTTTAAGACACCAGCGCAAGATCGTGACTGGAAAACAACTGCATCGACATAGATTCTTCTGCATTAAAACCGATCGAAGAAACGTTATTATTACTTGCACTGAATAAACAAAGACTGCACCATATGAAGAAACAGGACACAGTGGTAGTTTTTGTCAAGAAAGGTAAAGGAACTAGCTCTTTTGAAAAATGCAGCGAACTTGCAGATGAGCCTGGCAAAAACAAATAACTGAACGGACTTACAAGAAAACGTTAWAAACGTGGAAATCATGCATCCAATCTTTTTTTGCACATTGTGAATTATTATAAGAAAACTGTATGCCTGCATAGTAAAATTAAATCTTGTTAACTCGAGTTGTTTATTTACTCTGTTCCTCTGCAACATTTTGCATGCGCATGTAATCAGATTCCAAGCTTGGACGATGATTTGCATCTTTATTATAMGTTTGAGTGTAGACGATGACGAAAAGTTGAAGAAAATATATTATTTCAACTTCAGACTCAACTCCGGTGGGAATCAATATTACTTTCAGTTTTATGCAATTGTTGCAGTGCGCCTCCTATTTGCTTTATTCTATTTATATATATATATTTTTAATCAAAGTATTTAAAAAAATTTAATAACAAAAATTTGTCTAAAAATTAAAGCATTAAAATGTTGTTGATCTACTACCTAGTAAACACTCAGACAATAATACCGTCGAACKGTTTGCGACTTGTCATTCCTATTGWTRTTTAGACTTAMATAGCWCRCATTTATTTTTTGTCTATCATGAAAAAAAGAAGGAATCTTGAGGTGAAAAAATATCAAACAAAAATGACCTCAAATACCACGTGATKAATATTATTTACCTCATAAGCCGCTGTCCTCATGAAYTGCTTTGCCTGTGCTTTCCATATCGCTGGAACAGTGATCACCCACTGAATGTCATCCTCGAGAATCTTTGTCGCTGATTGGTCGGTCAGCTCCTCGATCACGTGGTCTTTAAAGAATTTYAGAGCATGCGCAAASACCGTCACGGCTTTYAGTGATTTTCCGTTGGCTGCCTTGAGTTCAACGGATTTGTTCAGATCCTGAAACCATGAAAAAWTCCTTGTTTTGTCATAACATTACATATTGATTTGACAATTGCATCATTTCATTATGACGTCATATCAGAACATAACATTGTTTTAACGTTAAGGGATTATGGTAACCATAGTGTATCAGAGTGCATATTAAAAAAATCTTCATGAGCCGTGACGTCTTGTAGTCATTTATTATATTTATTTGTTTGTCTATATTAATTATCTACTCGTTATTCATTATGTTACCATTGCCTGTCATTGTTCTCTACGCCAGCCACCGCTGGCCGCCCCATTGCCGGATTAGCTCGCCAGTGGCAATTAATTTATTTAAAGATTAAAGATTAAAGAGCCATCTTCGATGCATGACATATATCAAAAGACGATATATTGAGTTCTACCTTCTGAGTAAAAGATAACTGTCCCCGAATGTCCACTGTTTTTGAGATATCTTTTCCCGATGTAAAAATACTGTGACGTCATAATGAAATAGAGCAATTGTCTTATCTGCCTATTAGAGACCTAGTTAGAGACTGCCACTGACTTAATGGACTGCAGACTTACTCTTAGTTTGACTGCCTTACGCACTGGCTGACTAATTGGAAAACGATGCAATATTAACGCTTTTTTTTTTGTTTTTTGATATACTTGTATAATGTTTAAGTAACTGACCTTCTTTGTATGAAGTGCCATTTTGAATTTCTCAAAGAACAGCCACTTTTTGGCTTCATCGGGCTCTAGATCGTGGTAAAAGTCCCGAGCACCGTAACCAAAGGAGTGAAAACTTCCATCAGGTCTCAACAATAAAGTAGTCGGTGTCTTTTGATTAGAAACCCCAGGGTCCCCTCCCTCCCATCGTCTCATCATATGTATGGCACCAGAGGAATCCCTTGTAAAAGCAAATGCGTAACCACTRAACGTGGTGCCAAAGTCTATAGCAACCACTACGAAGTAACGATGAGGAGCGTGCGTTGCTATGGCCGGCAGACCGGAATCTATAGATGCGGGAAACGAGTCTGAGTTCACCGACGAGTTGTCATCAGTTTGTACAGCAAGCGGAGTGGATTGGTCGTTTTCCATCAATGGTTTTGATACTGGAATGTTTTTGACGCCGCTTTCTTGAGATAACTGTTCCACTAGGCGTTCTAAACCTTCAACACCAGATGTAACGGACGGAGAAGAGCCGAGGTCGCTGTCATTTTTCTCTGAATCCTCAAGTTCACTCTCTGATTCCTCGTCACTGTCCTCTTGATGACCAAAGTCAAAATTTTCAAGATCTTTGATAAGAGAGTCGGCTACCTCGGCCAAGGACGCTGAACGAGAAGCTGTAGGACTAGGATGGTACGAGCTTGTACGGAATGTAAACTGATCTAAGAGTCGCCTCTCATCTTCTGTAAGGGGGCTATCAAAAGGGGTAGTAGGCTCGCTAGTATCACTATCACTATTGACGTAAGSACCGTTTTCTAGCGATGAGCCGGGATTAGCCTGGACGTCAGAGTCAATCAGTCCCAATTCTTCCTTGATTTGTTGTAGTTCTTGATCGGATAGGGATCCCTCGAAACCCTCCTCGACTTCACTCCCGGGGAGCTTCAGGTTGGTTTGTTTAGCTTTCAATTTAGAAACACTTCCATCCATAACTTAACGAAGTCTAAAACCAAAACAGAACACTTTAAGTGGTACTAATATTTGCGAATCTACCTGCGTTGGATAATTTGAAGTCCTAAATAGCACAATACATGTACTTTTGACCACTTACTTGTCACATACACAGTGTCTTGTAAAAGTTTGATTAACTTTTGAAAGTTATCGACATTATTGAACCATAACTATGCCATAGAAGCACGATACATTTGGTCTGTGGATTCAAAGTTTGTTTGACTTTTGAATAGTCAATTTTCTGTAGAACTGTATCATGTAAACACGGTCAAGAGTACTGAGATGGGATTGGTTGAAGATGGTTTATAGAGCAGGACAGTTTTGCCGATAAATCCATGTATGTTTGCTATGCAAATGAAGCGAAAAGAGCTTTGTTTATCTAAATAAACTAACTTGGCATGGCCTCATGCAGACTGTTGTTAATTAAAAAATCTTGACGATGTATGATTTCCATGTTTTTGATCTGAATGATTTACCAAGTGGAAAATGAGCTCATCTCAAGACATCGTCGAAATTMCTTCGATGGTTTGAGGTATGCATTTTCGCTACCCGTGAATGACAACGATTCAATAATCTTTTTCATCTCATTTCAATAACACTTAGATCGACAGCTTTCCCTTGTTTATATACCTTAAAATTTATCTTTTTGAAGCATTTAATGTTACCACTTTTGARTATCTAAAACTTCTTTTCAGCTCTCCAAATTAAGTGTGTCCTGACGATATCATATTTGGAAGTCGCATTCAGAGAAATTTATAACTTCAAACTGTACCTAAAACGATATATATAAAGTGGCAAAATATGTTTTTGCCATGGTTAGATATATAAGTTGCAGTTGTTAATAGAAAAGCAGTAGTTGTTTTATTGTTAACTGCCCTTTTTTGTCATTACACCGAATATAAACTTACTATATTTTGTGTAACAAAACACCGCGTTATCCATTTCGAGAAGACAAAAACGAACATCAAAACTTAGAATTGATATTTTCTGCAGTGTTATGTAGTATTTTTTGCATTGTGTTTTGTTCCGGAGTTCCGTTCCGGGTGGTCACCTGCGCCACGTAAATTATTATCGGATTATGTAAACAATTTGAATTCCAGTTTTTGTTTTCTTGACTTCAGAACTATGATGCCATCCCAGTGTTTGCTTTTTGATTCTAGCGGTCTTGACCCAAAGAGCTGTAGCAATCTATTGCCGTACTAGTACTGTATAGGAGGACGATCTCAATGACGGCATTGTGTACAAACAGCGAGCTATATTGATACAATAGGTCTCTAGTTATTCACCAATTTGCAGCCCATTAGAACAATATGAGCAGCTCTTTTTCACGTGACAGATGACACACTTCAAACTGAAATGATGGCTGACAATCAAGTAATCGATATTGGTTCCAAACGAACAAACCGTTCATCGTCTATCCCAGCTGTTACCTCGGTTAAGCCACGTCAAACCAGACACAGCGTTGACCAGGGAATGGCCTCAGGACAACAAGAACGTCTTGCTGATGGCCGTCTACTTGTTCTCAAGGTTATCGGGAAAATAAATCTACGAATCGAGAGGAAAGATTACGATGATCTTTCGAGTATATTTGAACAAGTACCTGGTGATGTATTGGTGTTGATATTAGGTAAACTATCTCTTGATGGATTATATCGTGATATACCAAGCAGTCTTGCGCCAATGGCTTCTCTCTTCAGTAAACTACATGCCGACTGCAATGGACGCTTTCCAAAGAAGSTMCTCAATGGSGATGACTTTGTTCATCATCTTGTCCGGTATTTCTCGGAACTCTTAAAGTTCAACAATGAAACATTCGCAAGYGCTCGATCGAGAGAACATATCCGAAAGATTCTATCAATCTGCGTGAAAAATGATGAAAAATTGGGCGAAGCCTTGTTGCGTAGAGTACAACTTCTTACAAAGACTATCAAGGACTTCACGCAGCATACCTTAGTTGAGCTAGTTAGCCGATCTGCTACAAAATACTGCATGAAACTTCACGAGGCTTTGAAGATAGAAATGGAGCGAGCAACAGCTCATTATAAAATGGCGCTTGGACAAATGACCGAAGTGTTACAGACAATTCCCGAGCATAACCTCGATGTAGCGCCAATAACAGAGTCAAAGATGGATGAGAAATCAACACAGCAAATACGACAATTAACGCAAAAACTTATCGAAGAAAGACTGTGCTTTAACGAGGCCATATTTGATGCGGCTGACAAGGGAGGCAAGGGACAAACTTCTGTTGCGAGCTTGGTTGGTAAATTAGAAACAAGAGTGCATCATGATCGAGAGGTTAGTAGTACCATCATCTACAGCAGATCTGTTCAGCATTAGTCTACCTTCTTAGCTGTTTTCGCAGGCTTCAGCTTTATTTACGCTACGCATTTATATGAGCTGTATCTGTGACCAGAATTTCGTTAAAACTGTAGTACTCATTTTTAGTACACAAAACTGCGTTCTTGCGTTCATCTTACACACAATTTCGGCAAGTATTATAATCCATTTCCATTCTGCGATCCAATATTTATGCATGCATGTCACCTTTTAAAAAAGGTCACTACAGTGCAAAGACTGACCTATTTGATATACCTTACAAAATTCATTTACTGCAAAASATTTACGAATGTGAATGTAACCTCGAAATCCGTACACGGTTACTTTCATTTAATCGGTTGTTATTTTGCATGGCCGTTTCTTTTGTTACTGAATTGAATTTGAGTTTAGGAGTTCATAGGGGATTCAAATAGTAAAGTGTCGGTGACTGTCGTTTCACGTTTTTGACCTTTTTCGCACGATTTTGTAGTTTCTCTGATCATGCAAACGGCCAAATAAAAAAGATAAGTGGTTTTCAGCTCTATGTGTTGTTTTCGATGGATTTATGTAATCTTTTAATGCTGTTTTCTTATATTTTATCGCGCGGGTTTTGAGATTTTKCACGTCCGGCTTTTCCTATTAATATGCAAATACAGCAATCACTACTTTACGTGGAATTGAATTATACAGTGATCATAGATAGCATTTCATGGCGAGTAAGAATTCTATAATTAGACAGGGCTGGATCCAGCTGGTTGGTACTTTTATTATTTTGTCTCAATTTATTTAATGATTTTTTGTCGGGGGTGCACCCCCTTCCTGAGAGCCCCGCTTTAAACTGATATCAGGTAATAAACATTTTCCTTCAGGTTTTACGTCTTGTTAGCGAATTGAAGAAGGAGTTTGGCATAAGTTCGTCTGAAGAGCCAGTTGTATGCATGTTAGAAAGATTTCAACAAGCTTATCAGCAAGTTTATCAATTGTTGCAAGAATCAGTGAAAGGAACAAARCAGGTTCTTATGTCAAAGCAAMATCTTAGTACAAAAGAAAAAGATGASTCTGTCAGCGACACAGACCTGTTTGACTCGGTCACACAGTTAGACGAAGAAACTGGTAAGCRTGTGGGCTATTGTATCATTATAAAGAATGAGGGAAAAGTCCCCTCCATATAGGAATTTTTCTATTTTACATAACGACAAATATAGAATACTGCAAATGCCATAGTGTATTCAAGACCGAATTAAATGTATTGTTGGAAGTTTATCGTTGTCCAAAAGATTTTTATCAGTGGTTTCAGAATGACTCCAACAGTCAAACACTTTTGGAAAATAAATAGTTTAAAAATTGTCATTTTATACTCATAGCTAACATTGAGTTTAAGAGTAGTAATACACGACCTTCAAAAATGGTCAGTAGTTCTCGACCGTCAATATCGGGGGACTAGTGACGAATCATGGAAACGCCGAGACTTCAAACGCCTTACATAAAAAAAAACACTACGAAGATCGCATGTATGTAGTGTCCAAATGTTTGTAAGATGTATTGGTGTACGTGTTATTTATATCAAAACACTCTTGTAAGACACCATCGAAGTTTACTATACAGAGGGTGGCCTTTGAGGCCTCGTTTTAGTGCTTCGTCCCAAGTGGCCTGGTCGACGACCGTTACATATATCGCGCCACTTTTGAAAGTCGTKAATGCATTGCGGTCTTGAAAATTACAATACAGTGTTCAAGATTTAACGTTTTCTGGAAAAGCTACATATACTGTATCGGTCTGTATCATGCTGCGCTGAATGAGTAAAATAAAATCGTATTAACCAGCAACCTAGTGTGCGTATAAACATATTCATATCTTTTTGAATGAAATTAATCTAGTAAAAAAAAAATAATTTACTTTAATGTCTTAATCTTTTCATGGGATGATGTTATTTTATCTACATTATCGATTATAAAGATCGGTTTCCACGTAAAAGGTGGCGCTTTTTCATGACTTATTGAGTCGGGTACAGCGTATTCATTCAACCTGCCAATCTCATGTATTCCTTCAACAGATCTCGAAATGGTAAGCTCAACTGTCAGTTCTACAGATTCAGAGAAACCACATGATGAAAGCAATCAAATCAAACTGAGAAAGCATACAAAGGGGCAAAAAAATGAGCTGGAAAAAGTCAAGAGAGAACTTCAGCAAGCACAAGAGAAAATTAAAGAAATGGAAATGAAAGAAAAAGAGATGAGAGACAGGTGAGATAGTATTTTATCAATKATCTATGAAATACCTCTATTTCTCCATCATATTACGTAAAGTTGTCGAGAGGAAATAAGAAAAAAAAGGTATTTAACGACATAGTTTGCTTCCATGTAAATATAGGATAAACAAAATATTACACGATCGCTTGGGGATATGAATTTTATCTTCTCGTGTTGAAAATCTGTCATTCGTTCGCTACGCTCACTCGTGAGAGATCTTTTGATTACTCGAAGATACAATCCGTATCTCCGCGCGTCCTGCATGTAATATCCTCTATGCACGTGATATCTAGCATATAGTATGTTTTCCATGGCTGACGTGAAAAAAAAAAACAAACAAACAAACAAATTTTAAGGACTATAAGTAAGCACTAAAAAGTTACTACTTTTCCAAAACCTTGGTGCGTTGCTATATGCTTATGTCTTTTAATTCTTGAAACGTATTTATCAATTCCATGATCCAGACTTGCTGACCARGCACAGAGACAGCTAAGGCGAGGAAATAAATACCAGGACATGTCCGAGGCTGATTCTCGGCCATCAACWCTAACAGAATGCTACGATAACCTCTACTGCCAGACGAGAATCGATGCCCTTGATGACTTAGACAACATACAGGCCTTTGATAAACTGGATGATGGTGACAGCATTAAGGCAAAACTGCTTTTTAGCGTTGTTGCGGTAAGTACATCTACGACCGCGTGAAATTTCGATTATCAATTAGCTTTGCGAGACGTGTTTTACGGCTCTCTGGACCATTTAACATGCTTTTTTAAMGAGATAATAATATTATCATGCTTATACTCCTGCAGAAAAGTAATTGTTTCGTAACTACTTTATTTCAAATTGTGAAATGGAGAATACCGTAAATACTATCTTATTGTAGTCACAAATCGGAATAGCGCTGAAAGTGAGTGTGAATATAGACACTCTATGCTAAACAGTAATAAAAAAGGCCGAACTCCTGAAGCAGATCATTGGCACGCTACAAACATACATCTTATACGTAGTTTCACTATAGTCACAAACCTCTGAAAAAATTTATGCTTGAGTTTGCATATAACTCCATATAATTTGCCCGCTGAAGCGAGATGCATTAATTTTCCCTGCTACAAACTCGGTTGTACGTTGCAATTAATGCTTGCAAAAATTCACAGATGAACTGCAAAAGATTGGCATTGTACAACGTGACAGTGCATACGTTTACACATTTTTGATGGTTAATTCGACTTTGATAGCTCTATCACTTGTTCAGTTCAGTAAAATTTCCCTTGCAGTACAAAATGATGTTTATCTGAATTTTTTTCCAGGTGTCCTTTCGAACCGTTTACCGGTCATTAACTGAAAAACAGAATCGAATAAAACGCCTTCTTGACATTCCAGGAACYAGAAACAGCAAGCATGCGCAGAGTGTRCTCGATGACATCAATGTCTATTTTCGTCACACTGCTTTACACTTTAATATCGCTGCCATTAAACGAGTAAGTTACATAAAATATATATCGGTTATTAATGATACCATCTGTTCCATGGCATACGTTCAGTAGTGTTGATGAATCTTTATAGCATAGCAGTCCAACCTCTATTAAACGACCCTCTATTTAGCGGTCAACCTCCATTAAGCGGTCACTGATGAATTCCCAAAAAGTCGATGATCATATGCATTTATTGGTAAACATAACCTSTATTAAACGGTCAACCTCTATTAAGCGGTCATCTGGTATTTCCCCAAGGTGAAAAATTATAAATTATAACAGTTATGAATTTTGTCAAGAAGTGAAGCATCTTTATTGAATTTAAAACTCTTCAAAGTTTTTCAGTAGAAATTCTAAAGAGAAGAGTTCTTCAAGTTATGAAAAAGATAATTTTGACACCGTAAAGAATTAGGTGAAACAACTAACTTAAKTAATTTGTTTCAACTACTTTTTGCTTTAGAAAGAGAATATAAAAACAAATGCCTTTCCTTTCCTATAAAAAAGGGACATGACACACTTGCAATCCGTTATGTATTGATTTTTTTATGCTGAATGATTCTGGTAGTGGTATCGTTAAAACACTTCATGATATGTTACGATGATGAACGAAAGCACATCTACTCCTCGAGGAGGTGGAAATATGAAGTTTTCARTTATTAAGTTTAGCTTGAAAGTTKTMGTATAAATTCTCATACAACCAGTTGTCGTTGATGAAGCGAGACAYGATAGAGACAGAAACCAATAAACAATTTTCCTATGTAAAGAAAAAAGATAGAAAAAAGAAAAAGAAGTGGACTGAAGGAAATGAAGGGGGAAATTCATTCATCACAAAATGCTATAGAACAAGTCAGCTTGAAATTTTATTCTTGTATACGAGTTTTTCTGTCAAATTTCTGTCAGTTAGCTATGCTGAATGCTAAATGTCAATTTTGTCTTTCAGGAGGTCAGCGCACAGCTTTGGAAAACACTCTACGACTTTCCTGACCTTCAAAAATGTGAAAAACTGAACGTTTTCATCGATGAATCAGTTACACTAGCATGGCGTATGTCGGTGCAGACTCCACCAATGGCAGTTTACTACGAAACCAATAAATACAATGATAGCATGCATACAAGATTTCTTACTTCTAACCCTGATAGCCTTACGATAMAATACCATATATGGCCTGCTTTGATTGACAGTCAGACTGGTCACGTGTTTTATCGAGGTGTAGTTGTCACGTGATAAGAAAATTTCGAGACATGCAGCTTTTTTACGGTTTTACGGAAAACATTGTAAATTTCATTACTATTATTGAAATTAATTGAAATTAAAGACTTGGTTTGTCGTCGTCAGTTTTTGTGACGAAAGGCCTTATGGGGCTTCTCGTCACTATGTCATCTTGTGAGTGACCGAACCGTAACATCCACTTGTAGCAGGCGTTCCTTGCGAGTCCTTGATATTTTTAAGTTGAAAAAGAGAAAATCTCTAGAGAAAAACAAACGAAGTAACAACAGCAAAGAAAAGAAGAAAAGAAAAAAAAAGAAGAAAAGAAAACAAGAAACAATCGAAAAAAAAGAGAAATACCAGAAACAGGACTCGAACCCAAAACTTTCATTTAAGGAGAAGATGTACCCCCCGGAATACATAAGAAATAAGTGAAAATAAAAAAACTAACTGCGGCCGAATGCCGATGTTCGATGTAATATGACGGCTTTCACCAAGCTGTTCAATTGTTGTTATTGTTTTCCAAATCATCACTCATCCAAATTATTATCTCGACAGTTCTTGTATCAGACAGACACTATTTAGTCGGGTAAGGGCACAAATCTCTTTGAAACTCTTAACTTAAGGTGTTTCGATCGTAATAAATAGCGATTCGCGCGTATTTTTAAACTCCAACTAAGTCGCAAATTTCGATTCCATTGCACTCAAATTTCCACAGAAGTACCAGTGATTATCGATAATTCTTGTTGATAAATTAATTTGCCAAAAAGCGAAGCCATTTGGATAAACGGTGCAAAATAAAAACACATTCATTTTTCTTCAAAATTAATTTGATTAATTTAAAATGATGTACATTCAAACAACTCGAAATTTTAGGAAACTTCGTCAGTATATCAATTATGTTATTAAGAAATGATTCTGACAATTTTATTACAATCTCTGCGATGAGTTTCGAGAAAATTAATAGAATGAGCCTATTTGGTCACATGCATGGACCTTTATATCTGATAAAACACTCCTTATTAGTATTCTTAATATAAAGAATACTAATAAGGGTGACCTTTATCAGATATAAAGGTCCATGACCCTAGCAAAGGTCTCAGGTTTGAAACCTGATCATTGACCAATGCAGGATGTCAGCCGATTTCAGTGAACAGCCAAGAGCGGTTTTATTTTATTTTATGCGTATTCAATGTGGGATGACAAGAGTGCTTTGTAAAGTGATTCGCGCATGATCAGTTTGCCCCATTTATCTCTGAACATATTTGTACGGCAATTTCTCCAAGAATTTTAACGGATTTGAGTTTCAAATTAGTGTTGGAGTTTTTTAAGCCGTTTAAAACACTCGAGATCGTGTTTTAAACTATACTTAAAGACCTCTAGAACGTTCAATGCACATTTTCGTTCTTGGTGATATAAAAGTTAACACGTTATTGAAGTTAATATAGTGGATGAATGATAATCCGTACAAAATTGATGAAGAAATCAAGGAAAACTTAGCAAGCTTTCGGTTTTATTGCAATACTATAATCAGGCGATCAATGATAGTAATTTCAGAACATGGATGTAAAAATACAGATTTAATAATAAAAACATTTTATCGTTCGAGAGTCAACAGATACAGAAAGATGTTTTTGAATACAGCTAAATTAAAGCTCTAAGGACCGCTCCATGTCGTGGATAAAAAATCCCTTTTCGAATCTTTCAGATGGATGTTTACTGTAGGCAGGGAAGCAGCTAGAACGACCCGCGTCAGGCCCCACGGGAGGAATGATCATAGGAAAATGTCCACTTTGAGCTCTTTTTTTGGTTCAATACCGGAAAAGACTGGGACTGACTCTGACGTCATCCCAGGACAAGGCATTTGTTGTTATCGAAGCTTGACAGTGGATTTTATCGATATTTTTAACATCGATTTTTATGCTCTTTCGCGAATGAAATGCCCATCAAGTGCGTTGTTGGTGGCTGCAGTAACAGGCCAGATATTTTGAAGGGAATCGACCTTCAAGTTATCAAGTTATACCTTTTCNTGGACAACGATAAATATTCATTCTTCTCCTTCTCTAATCTATAACTATAAGACACACGAACCCTTACGTATTGTGGGAATTGAAAATAAATCTAATGGTCAAATAGAAAACCAGCATTTTAAACGTGAACAAGGCTTTCTTCGCATCTGTTATCGCCTTTCTGTGAATTGTTATAATGTAGGAAATACCATTTGTTAAGAAAAAACCTTTCGTATCACCGGCGTTAGGGCATTAGACTTGCATGTGGGATTTCCCCAACTCGTGAACGAAACGCGCACTATAATAATAATAAAGTTGTTGGGATGATATGGAGAATTTTGAACTTTGGACTTGAATAGTGGAAAGTGCATAATAAAACTGAAACCAAAAAGGCTCATTGGGAATTACGATAGAAATATTACATTATACATTTTATTGTTACGGATTGTAATTCAACTATCAGCTCAATTTGTGATAAAACTACACAAAATCAAGTTGGCTTGTTTAGAAGTTTAGATTCATATTGACTTAATTCTGTTTGTACAGCATCTTGTTGTAAAAGTACATGTTTGAAATGGCTTACTACGCTAATATATATGATATATAATTGTATGAGGAAGTAGCTGATCCCATTAAAGAGTGCTCAATACACATAAAGTGTAGAGCTMKTTATATATATAATATATATATATCATATGATTTTTCACTACTGAAACAATCGAGTGTTCATTACGTCTCTATGGTGATATTTGCCGTTATATGGTCAGCGATAAATATTCATTCTTATCCTTCTTCTTTGTAATATAAATAAGTTAAAACTTGGAAATATTTAGTGCGACTTTTATTAGCTGAAAAGCCACTTGATCGGCATTACGACGCATGCGTAGTGAATACTGTTTGTCCACGAGCGCTCCACGTGCATGCATAATTAGTTAGACCGGCATTAAAATATCGTACTCAATATAGATTGCCCTCTTTGTTACTCGATTTGAAGTCTTACTGCCGAGTTTGCGGTAAAGGTCAGTTTATTATCTCAGTWATTTTAGGGAACCATCTATCATGRCTTAAAAACTTTTAAAAAGCAACCTGAAACAAAACAGAAAAATGTTGCTCTTGAGAAAAATTTCAGGCCATTTTTCTCAATCGTAATAACATATATTTAATTAACCAAATTCTTCTGAACTTCATAAAAAAGATAGAACTTCAAATGATATAAAATAATACACACCATAACGTCAGCCCTACAAACCTAGAAAATCGTGAAAGTCGACCTCCTCATTCTGTCGTGATGAAAACTATTTCACCGATGTAACCCGCAATTTATCGGTCTTCATCTCTAGATTCGGAATGACATAGCTTGAATTCTTACTGTACATTATCTCATAATTTTTGGTAGAAGTTAACAGAACTAGAAGTGTTATACGTTGCTCATTTCAACAACTGTCATCAGTGTTTGTCTGACTATATCGCTTTTTTTGCGTGGCATTCCCGCCTTAGCTAGAGCAGGCACACCGATGCCTCTTACAAAATCATATTTTCAATTAAAGCTATAATATGCAATCAAAATAGATSAAGGAAGATTCGAGAAAAGCCTGAAGGCCCGTTTAACATCTAAAACCAAAACAAAATTTGCATTTGATCTAGATAATTATTCTTCTGTTTTGTCTGTGAAGATCAATTTGAGATAATAGAAAGCAAAGATGTATTATAAACTCTTAGTATGGCGCTGAATTTTTATCACAATAACAGAGAACTGGATGAAGAATGTATGTAAACAAGCAGGACTCATCTTGGTAACCAAAAAGGGGGTAAAAGTCCTGTTTCTTGTGGTGTTATTTTTTCCATCGAAAAATACTTTAAGCTTTTGAACTGATGTAACCATTTTTCTGATACCATAAGTTCTCATAAGTAGTTTCGTTGTCGAAACCTAGCAACCATTGAATTTTCATGTATGTTAACCTTTGTTGAAACAAGCAATTCAACATTACTGTATTAGCTCAGACCTTTGAAAGTTATATAGGGCTTTTTGTCCATAATTTTAAGGTGAACGATACAAAATATAACTTCATCCTGTTTAATWWWWAAAAAAAGATTTGATCCAAAGTCATTGATAGCAGAGTTTAAATTATACTTTTTAATGAAGGGCAATGTTATTGTAGCTTTATTCAAATATTGACAATAAAAAGACTTAGCGTTTTCTGCATATAAATTACTATGGGAAATTTAACAGGAATCCCATCRCTTGCTGTAGGAAATTTCTCTAAACTTCCTTTTCTTTTACCTAGTATAGTCTTCGCATCTCTTCTTTTCTGCTTTCATTTCTTTTCTTTTAATCTAGATTCGCTTTCTTGCTTCTTTTGATAACAACAATAATTTAAACA